GCGGCTCAGAAGCCCCTCCCTCTGGGCCGGGAGCAGTGGGAGGGATTGTGGCCCAGAAGCCCCTTCCTCTGGGCCAGGAGCAGCAGGACAGAAGGTGGCCCAAAAGCCCTTTCCTCTGGGCTGGGAGCAGCGGGAGGGATGGTGAGCGGGAAGCCCCTTCCTCTGGAGCAGGAGCAGTGGGACGGCGGCTCAGAAGCCCCTACCTCTGTGCCGGGAGCAACAGGACTCAGTACCTTGGTCTGGTGGTCTGGTGTCCTCTGTGGCTTTGTAGTGTGGAACAAGTCTGTCTGCAGCGGGGTGATTCGGTGTCTTCCACGTGACTCAGGACCTTGGTAGGGCGTGCACAGACGTGCCTGTCTGCAGCGGCCTGATTCGGCATGTTCTGTGCGACTCAGGACCTCGGTAGGGTGTGGGCAGACCTGCCTGTCTGCAGCGGGGGGATTCCGAGTCTTCTGGGCGACTCAGGACCTGGGTAGGGCGTGCACAGACCTGCCTCGGTACAATTGTCCTTTTTAAGGCCAAAGATTTTTCTTGAACAAAAGCAAGAATGTTTAAATATTACAATATTCACAGACAGGAATAAACACAACTTTTGACAGCTAACTTAGAGGACAGTGTGTCTAAACAGAATTTGGTTCTTAACATTTTATTCATAAAGAGGAAAAAATGCTAATTCTTTTTCATTGGCAATTTAATATTTCTGGGGTTAAACTGCTAACACTGCATGGTATAATGAGAGTAGATATTGTCATTAAATAAAACATTTTAAAAATAGGATTATGCAGAATGACCATCCAGTGGGCATTTTGTATTCCCAAATGCCTTCTCTGAAGGAAGAACTAATCAGCTGGCTTCCTCTGAGAGGAAGGCCTTTTGGGAGTAAGAAAGTCCTGAGATGTTTCCTTCTGATACTTGCTAGCTCAGATACCCTAACAGGAAGAAAGAAAACCTTAACTGAAAAAAGAAACGGTTTCAAGCTAGTAACTTCACACTGAATTCATTTGACTTGCAGTAGACTTAGGGGGCTGATGCGTGTGGAAATTAGGAAATTCAGCTTTCCGTGAAACTCAGAATTCATTTACAGAATTAAAAAAAAAATCTAACTTTAAAGAATGTCTCTCTAAACCTGTCTCAGAAATATGACCTGTCTCAGGAAAAAGAAACTCAGTCTGATTTTTGAAAACTAATAAATAGGAAAAGGTAATAATATGGCTATACCATAAAAAAATGAGAAATTAGAGACATTTATAGCTAAATGGATGCACATTGAGGCAATACTCTTAAGTGAAATAAATAGGACACACTTGTGTAAATACTAAATAGTTTCTCTAATGTGAGAAACTGAAAGCGGAAATAAGGATTAAAAGGTATAACAGATAATGTGAAATAGGAAGAAAAGGGGCAAAGGGGAAGGGGAAATGGAAGGGGTAGGGGAAATGAAAGAAGGGAATGGAATTAATATGAGAAAATGAAAAAATGGAAACAAAGTCTTTGTAAATAGGGAGGAATGGAGGGGTTGAAGGGAGGGCAGGGAAGGGGGAAAAATAAGAACCAAGAGAGATGATGTAAAGGTGCAAATTTCCAATGATGAATGAATGTCATTATATTGTATACCTAAAATGTACCAGTAAAATTAATTAAAAAAAAAACAGCTGGCACTGGGAAATAATATGGCTATATATGTCAGTATTTACAATAAACAAGAGTTTTTAGAAAACAGGGTTTCAAAAATACATATATGCACACAACAATATTTTCTGAATTTATACTTTTAATGTACAAACATAAACGTAAGTACAGAAAAACATCAGGATTTAGGTTCAAAAAACTAAGACACAGTATTTGATATTGCTTTTTAGACATTTTATTAGAAGCAAAATCATTCTTCATAAAAATTGTGAAAAATTATTTCAATTCATTACTCAAGACACCAGTTCTTCACATTAAAAATCTTTAGAAGCATTTCAATTTTAAAGTTTATTTAATAAGTACACAGTAAAATGTTCAATTCTTTGAATGTAAGATGTTTATACATAAAAAGCAATTAATTTTCTAAACTGAGATCTGATTTTATTTTATAGAAAAGCACAAATATTTTTCCACTAAATGTCAAAAACAATTTTTGAGTTTAAATGCTTTACATTGTAAACATATACTTTGAAAATTTTGGCTTTACCAGGAGAATTTTAAGCCAAGGAGTTTTTAACTAGTGTTTTCTGAAATGTCCACAATTAAAATATTTATCATTTACAGTATATTCCTCTTGTACTATTTAACCAGTGTGTTTAAATTCAAATTAGGAAATGCTTACCTGGGAATCAGTAAGTTCTTTGCCTTTTGTTAGACTCTTCTCTTGGGGAATCTGCGAGCATAACTTTAAGTCTGACCCCATTCAGAATCTTCCCATGCAAAGTCGCAATGGCATCGTTGGCGCTCATTCTATCTGCAAATTTGGCATACCCCACATTTTTTCCTGACACAAGGTAAACTTCGATCAGGTTACCAAAACAACTGAAACAAAGTAAAAAAAAAAAAAAAATCTACTGATTCCCAGGAGGATACTGAAATCCATATAACTTGTATTTTGCATAAGTAGCTGATGCTACATTAAAATACTGAACCACTCCATAACCTAAAATAGAGAATACACAGAAATGAAAAAGAACCCAGATTCATTGTGAAGGTGAAACAATATAAAACTCTGATTATGACACAACTAGTAACACAGAATCAAAGGTATCAAGTTCTGTCATACATGTGTGGGTCCGTAGTATTCCTAGAAAGTAAAGCATAAGTCAAACTGCTGCTCAGTTCTCAAATGTGAATCCAAATGGGATCCATTCTCAACTCATTTTCCACCCTTCTCCCTATACTCAACAGTCATTTCATGCCAGTCTTACTCCTTCACAATCTCCTCACTCTGCTGATTTCCTTCATTCTCACTCAGGTCTCTTTCCTCATTCACATCAGAATCACCATGCCCTAGATCACTTCACATTCTTCACTATGATCACCTGGTTGTCCCTTTCCCACCCATTGTCTACCCTGTCTTCTTCATGATCTCTCTGAAACAAAACACAATCACTTCCTCCTTAAACAACTCCTCAGCATCTCCCCACAGCCTCCAAGGTGAGGACAAACTCCTAAAACAGCTCTCAGGATTGGTCCATGGCCTCTTTCCCTTCACATTCCCTCATACTCTCTCCCAGTCTATGTTCTAATGGCTTCCTTTCATATTCTCTTTGGCAGGAAAAACCATCCACACCTGCAGCTTCCTCCTGTGCCTAAAGAGTTTTCACCCTGCAGGTCTCCTTGTACATCTTGCTTCTTTCAAGAAGCCTTCTCAGAGTTCCTACAGTAGGAACCCCTCCTGTGTCCTTCATACATTCCTCATCACAGCACCAATCTCACACACTAGTTGTAATTTCCTATTTGTCTGTTTCCTATATGAAAGTGGATCTAAGAGGACAAGGACTATGCTATCTTGTTATCAGAGTATCATGCTTTGTTTACATACCATCTCGGAACTTGTGGCTGACTGGCACAAGGAGAATGCCTGACTGGCATTTCAAGGAAAAAAAATAAATGAATCAATTAAATAAAGGTCAAAATTATGAACCATATGTTTGATAGTTTGTGCAGAAGCTTCCTGTCTATTTGCTTAAGTCACTAATATTCTTATAATGTAAACAGAAAAATGACGAAAAAGAAAAAAAACAAGGTAGGAGTTATATTACAAACACCAACCCGTATTAATACTTATTAGATATTCTTCCCTACAATCAAGTATAGTGGACCTTTGAGTTATGACCAGTCTGACATATGAACAACTTGGGCTATGACTGTAATTTTAGTTTTAACTTATAAACAAAGTCTTGAGGTTCGACCTGAATGCCGGCCACTTGTGGTTTCAGATGGTCTCAGATACTGATTTAACCCTTAAAAGAGCTCTGGAAGGAACATTACAAATATCCTTTCCTGTGTGAAGTTAACTGAGAAATCCTAGGCCATTGTCTCTCTAAGGACATTGAGATCTGCCTGGATAAAGTGTGGTCAAAAATTATACAGGGGAGAGAATTTGAAGGCAGTGTAGAGGACCCTGAGCCTTCAATTCACCAAGGTGAGTTACAACTAGCCCTAGAAACAAACAGAGTTCATAAGTCAAGGGTCCACTGTAATTGTTTACTCAATATGGTTATATACACCTTAGGATCCAACAGAGTGTTGACAAAATAGAAGATACTTAATGGTTACTGGTCAGCTGAATTGGAAATAAGAAGGAAAAGAATTCTAGTGGACAGAAAGGTCTATATTGATGTATCTTCTATCAAGAAACAAAGTTATTTGTCCATGGTATGTATCTAGTTTTTCAAAACAATCCTATATACTTTATTTTTTCAAAACAAAATAACAGAAAATTTTGTGTAAAGACTCGGGATGGCAAAGAAGAGAAGGAAATGATCATAAATTGAAAAAAAAAGATTCAAAAAGGCAATTTTAAAAGTCAAGAATAAATCATCCCTACCTGGTAAGTATTGGGTAAAGTAAGTTTCAAGATTGTGAGAAAGCTAAAATTATTAGTTTAAATAAATTATACTACAAAAACATAACGTTGTAGAATTGAAATCTTACCAGAATATATCCTCTAATACATCTAAAGGTAAAGGATGAGGATTAAACACAATAAAGAGTCTTTCTTTCATAGGAGTTTTTGGAGAGGCTTTTTTTTGCATGTATAACATATTTTTGGAAGTATAATATCTGTCTGCATTTGAGGCAACTGTGATCCAGAACTTCCTCCAAATTGCTGCTGAAGTTAGATACAAAGTGAGAAAAAGAAAAACTGTATTTCAGAGATTTTAGCCATAGCTAAAGATAATGTGTATTGTGTATGATGGTGCCTATGTGGTCCTCCAATGTGACTGAAAATTTTCTTACTTAATAGGTAATAAACAAAGGTCAGATTTATCTTCAATTCTCTTGACTGCATTATAAGGGTTAAATTCTTACCTACTTACCAGAAATTGCTGCTGGCTTGGGTTATTCCACACCACTGAGGCAAGCTGTGCAGCTACCATCTGTGTTGCCATTTTTCTAAGGAGACTGGAGACAATAACTCATAATTTACAGAAAGCTGGAAATACTCAGTTCTAATTGTTACTTGTTTTCTGTGACTTCCCTTGTGGGTTAACCGCTTTCTACCTGTATTTCTCAAATCATAATCATGTCCTTAGGCACTCCAGGAATGGTACTTACTCTGTCGCATTACTCCCGTTATCAATGAAGGAAACACTTATCATTCCCAGGAGGGTACTGAAATCCATGTAACTTATATTTTGCATAAATAGCTGATGTTACATTAAAATACTGAACCATTTCATGACCTAAAATTGAGAACACACAGAAATGAAAAAGAAAGCAGATTAAATGTGTATGGCCAGTGTTATAACATGAAGGTGAAACAATATAAAACTCTGATTATGACACAACTAGTAATATAGCATCAAAGGTATCAGATAATAAAGTTCTGTCATACATGTGTGTGTCAGGTGTATTTCTCAAAAGTGAAGCACAAGTCACATTTTAGAAAAAATATAATATTTAAGGAAAACAATATAGCATATGTCTGTGAATTTAATTTTAATATATTGGCTTCTTATATGATATCGATACACCCACAAACCTAAATTTTTAATCTTTGAAATTTTTCCCTATCATACCAGGTAGAGAATTAAATAATTGGTTTATGAAGAGAATATAGACTCAGCTAGGTGCATCAGTAGAGAGGGAAAAAGTGATATGTATAAAAAACAAAAGGTAGGAAACAGCAGGTCTCAGATCAAGTTGTCCACTTCACATTCCTTTGCGGCAAGATTTCAACTAAGGGGACAGATTTAAACTCAAAAGGTGATGAGAAAGAATTTTATGCTGGAGTCCTCAAATGGAGAGCCCTCAGCTGGTGATACAACCAAAAGGTTTTCAAGATATATTTATAAGATAAAATACTTTGGGGGAAAAATAGCTTAAAATTTTATGCTTCTGTTAAACTTAAGAACCCAATATTTTAATGAAATTAAAACATAGAAAACCAATGACCATTTAAAATTAATTGAAATAGGATTCTAACTGTATGATGACATTGGTTAACAAAAAGGTGTGCCACTACATATTTATCAGACACATCCACCAGAAAAATAATATAGAAAGTGCAGTAAATACATTTCAACATACTAGATAAATGGTGGTTGGATGGACAAAGCAGTGTTACATATAAATGTAACAACAAATGTGCCAGGAAACACAATATATGTGCCTAGGAGCTTTAAACAGAATGACAGGGTAAGATTAGGTTAAGGATGGAGACAGCGCAAAGGAGGTTTGATGGAGAGTTGTGCTAGAAGGTGAGGGCTGGCCAGGGCAACAGTGAGTATGCAGGGGCATCCCTCTGAAGGGCGAGGTACGTCAGGGCTGCCAGCCCCAACCCAGACTCATTCCCCTACTTCTGCTCCCCACTCAAGCCACTCTGAGAGGACTACATCAGGTAATCCTAGAGTCCTGGAGGAAATGCCAAGTATGATGTCTTTATATGGCCTTTCATTTCTAATTCTTCAGCAAACAAGCAAAAGTGCTTGGCACTAATTAAAAGGTTACAAACAGGAACCCTATCATGAGGTAGTTTTGTTGTGCTACTGGAAAGAAAAAATACTCTATTCTGTTGGAGTCAGAGCATTTTTTTTCAAAAAGTAAGTAACATTATACAAAGGATACATTCCCAGGGGTTTGTTTATTAAAGTAGCAATATAATTTAAAGTCTAAAATAGAAAGGAAACATAAAACTCCTGTCCCACAAACAGGATCTGACATAAAAAATGACATTGGAGAACAGTCATCTAAACAAAACATAAGCTATTTAAAAACAACATCAACAATATATTACTGTAATTTGAGTAAGGATCTTGTTGAACTTCACAATACTCCAATCCTGGTACTATATCAAAAATGCTGAAAAGCTGCTCTTCAGTGAAAGGAACTTGTGATACAACTGACAGGCGTAATAGCTTCATGGCCTCTGTTGTCATTCTTGTCAAAATTTAGAAATTCAGATTGTTGATCTCCAACAATATTTAAAACAAAAACAAAATCCTTAAGTTTTGATATATTCAAAACTTCATGCAACATTTTATGGACTAGAAAATGAAAGTCCATTGCACTGGACAAAGCACTGTATTTGGTAGCATGCTTTTGGTCATCAGCACTACCAGAAGGGACCAATGGGAAGAAAACACACAACTCTCCCCACCCCCAACTTCAACACAGAAATACAAATTCTGACTTGATAGGAGGGAGTTTAGTATGTAAAACTGAAAAATATGCCTAGAATTTTATGGCAAATAATATCTAAAGACTTTGCATTCATCACCCACTTTCTCCTTTTTCTAGCTTCTACTTTTGTCATTATTTTCTGTAGCCCTAATTTTAAAGCAGCCACAGTTTTAGTCCTCATACTGAAAGGATATCTCCATATATTTTCTGTACTTTTTGGTTAGCTTCATAAAGGCAGAAGTTCACTCAAAAAGTGGTCGTGACATAGTTTAATACATAGATAATGCTCAAATAATCAGAAAAAACTGGAAATAAGTTAAAGAAAAATGAGTGTTAAGTATTAAGGACACAACATCATGAACAACTTTTTGGGAAAAAAACTGCATTTAAAATTCACAAGGTGAGATTTATGACTTACTAGGAAAAGAACAGTTAAAGAACACTCAACTTAGAATGCATACACTGGATCCACTATTGAAGTAAAAGTAGTCCGCTTACCAAATGGAAACATATTTACTCTAGGTTCATGTCCCAAAGCCTCCTGCCTCTTATTACTATAATAATCTTGTTCTGAGGATTTGGATGCTTTATTTTTTGGGTCAGCCACGATTGCTCTAAAATCTGAAAAAGAGAATCCAGGAATTTCAAATTTCATTGCAAATTTAACATACTTGCAAATGTACATGGTTGCTAGTGCCTGACTTAGCTTAATAGTCTAATTGTACAAAGTAAAATCTATACATGGCCATCTCCACCAGATGTATTTCTTCTTTGCTTTCTGAATGATGTGGCAAACAAAAATCTAACAGTAAGAATCTCAACTTAAGGGTCAATGTAGACATGGAAGATTCAATTCAACTGCACATGATATTATTATCTTGTCCATGCTTCTCAACATGAAAATTGTATTCTGCTTCTTCACATTTAACCTGCCACCAAGATTCTTCCTTTGAAATACACTTAGAATATGTTATTTTTTACTCTCCTTTTCTGCCTCTGTTTTTAATTTAGAATCTCTTCAATTAATTACAACAGCCTTTTAAATGTTCTCTTTGTTTCTAGATCAAGAGTTCTTAACTAGGGGTCTAAGCATGAGCTTCAAAAGGTGGGGAAGTTCTAAGCACTCTCTGAAATTTTAAACAAAATACTTATGCATATGTTTGCACATGGGTGTATTTCAAGGGTCCACAGCTTCCATAATATTATACTCTGGCCTCAAACAGGATAAAATCAGCCAGGTTGAATTCCTTCCATGGAAATCTATCCACTACTGTGATTAGATCAACTGTTCTCTAATTATTATTATTATTATTTGCAGTAGTGGGGATTGAACACAGGGCCTTTGCACTGACCAATATCCCTGGCCTTTTTTATTCTTTATTTTTAGACTGGGTCTTGCTAAGTTGAAGTTACCTGAATTAAGCTGGGCACAACCTTGTCTGTCCCAGCTTCCTAGAGTGCAGGGATCACAGGAATGTGTCATCAAATCTAGCTAACTTTATTATTTTTAATCAAACTACAAGAGAATCCTAATGTGGACTAAGTCAGAACTCTTCATAACCTCCCGCATATGGCTCTGGTGTACTCAGCTGACTGTCTCATAATTTGTCAGCAGGAATATTGTGCTTTATGTGACAGTCTCCCTGTCATGAAGAAAAAGACATGGCTATGTGTCTTTGCAAACTCTGCTCTCACCTTTTCCCTGTCCACTCCTCTATTCTAGATGTAAGTCCTACCTCCTCTCAATGTTCTCCCTTGCTCACTTGGTGTACCTGTTGCTCACTGCTGATAGACTATACCACATGCTTCTGAATACTTTTTTCATTTAGCAAATTCTTTTTGAGTCCATACAAATACTAGAAGTTACTATGGAAGAGATCTCAATAAATCTTTTCTGAGGCCTATCACTATATTATATATTTGGGGTGATGGAAAGACAGAACATATTTCTTATTTCTGAAGAGCCTTTAAAAATTATTCTGTTATTCAGTATTTTTTACCTATTTGACCTTTATGTCCAATAGATATAAAATCCTTAAATGCCAGGATTGCCATATATTTCATTTGTGTTCCTCTATTTAGCACATTAATAAGTGTACCATAGGTACTCAATAAGGCTGACTGAATGGGAAATTTAGAAGGATCTAAGATAAAAATTTTGGTGTGGACCTTCTGGGTAACTAAGAATCCTGTTAACAATTCTTTACTGTAAGTATAAATTTTCATAATATCCAAAAGCCAGGTAATTTATTCCACATCTTATTTCTCAAAGTCAATGCACTAGAGTGTGACTACAAAGAATATTTTTCTTGTCATCTTTAAAATGCTTAGTCTTTATTAGGTATACCAGCAACAGCAGAAGGTTCAACTACTCTTAGCCTGAAATCAACTCTAATTAATTACCTATGTTAGGAAACTTCATAAATCCTATCCTTACCCTATATGCTTACTAGCATATTGAATTTTATTTTGAGTTCGGTAATAAATAAATAAATATGGTATAAGTGTTAAAAAAACTTGAAAGAGTAAATCAAATTTTTAATACTTCAAATTTTGAAATATATGTATATATAGATATCAAAAACCTATTCAAATAACCAAAGTATGCATTGCACTTGCTATTTTAATGTAGTTGCTTATATTTCTTTTCACAATAGTGCTTCAGTGAATGCTTAATTGCAGCCCCACAATAGTTTTTATCTTTGAATTATGTATATTTAAACATCTACTCCTAAGATTAAATTAGTAGATACCATGTTAGATTCAGTTATTTATAATAATTGGAATTTTAAAGAAAGTCACTAACAATGTCAAAAACATATTCTTACTTTGATCCCTACAAGAGTTAAAAGACAGAATCTTAGGGGACTCAAATTTAATTATTAAAGAAATTATTTCAGAATTAACTTTAAATGTATGATTATTCATGCCTTGTGGCCATTAGGGTGGTGTGTCAACTGGATTGGCTTTGGGATCCACCTGGGGGATTGGGAGAGCACACTTCTGGGTGTATCTGGGTAGTCAAGGGGGGATGGCCTTGGGGTCTATGTCTAGCCCCTTGCTGCTTCTATTCTGCTCTGTTCCCCTGCTCTGGTTCCTGGCTGTCATGAAGCAAAAATCTTTGCTCCACTATACCCCTTGCCATGATGTTTCTGCCTTGGAACCAGTCAAAATCATGGTCTGAATCCTGGTAAAAATGAGAGCCCAATTAAACCTCCTCTCCTTTAAGTTTTGGGTGTCAGGTGTTGTGTCCAATGATGGGACAGTTGACTAATATAGAAAATTGATGCTAAGAATAAGGTCATTGTTGTGACTCTGCCTGACAATGTCATTTAGAAGCCTTTCAATCTGGTTTGTGGGAGATTTTAGAAAGGTTTAGAGATAAGGACTAGAGAAGTCATAGAATGCTGTGAGAATGAAGCTGAAGGTGCAATGGAGAGCCTAATGGATGTTTCTGGTCAGTGCTCAGAAGACTAGAAGAGAGATAGTAATGCATCCAATAAAGGTCAGATTCAGGAGTTTTCAGATGGAAACACTCCATTGGCAGGTGAAGTAGAGGCCATGTGTATTACACTCTGGCAGAAAATTTGTCTGCATTTTGCCAATGTCCTGAGACTTTGTAAAACACCAGGTTTAACGGGGAAGAAATTTCAAGACAGCTCAACATTCAGGCTGTGGCATGGGTATTGCTGGATGCTTTTAGCCAGATTTACAGTAAGAATCAGTGGCAAAAGGCTGAACAGAAATATTTGAAAAATTTAAATTTTGCTGCAAAAGGAACCAAAGTAAAGTTGGAGCCAAAAGAAGGTGTGGCTGCTGAAGAGATTAGCACCACTAAAAGATACCAACTACTTTGTACAGGGACAAGAAGATCCCAAGCTTTATGGAATCTCAGGAATCAGTAAGACCCTATTCATCACAGACCTAAGGGTGCAAATGTCAACCTTTCATTTAAAGAGAATCCCTGGGCCCCCTGCTCAAGGAAGACCCAGTAGGAAATTTGTTCCCAAGGATTCTTTCCACTCTGGTCAGCCATCAAGGCTCTCAGAGATTGCTGCAGCCAGGGTCCAAGAGGGTCTGGCTACTGGCAGCAGTCCTTTGAGACATTCCCATGATGGTAGTTTTACTGGCATGCAGAATGAAGAGTTGTGCAGTTAAACAGGCTTCTACCCAGACTTCAGAGGAAGGCCAGGGAGGTCAGGCAATGAGCTCCTGAGAGGGCAGTGCATGAAGCTGTGAGAATGAAGCTGAAGGTGCAGTGGAGAACCCAGGATGTTGGAGGTGCCACAAACATGAAATGTCTGCCAGGGCAAGCTACAAAGCATGAGTGGAACCAGCCAAAGAGAGAGTTTGTGTGAGCTGCAACTGCCACAGCTGCAGGAATGGGGCTGCCCAAACTCTCTGTAACTCACATTTTACCACCATGTGCCCAATGCAAGATATGGAGCTACAGGGCTTAAGGTTCCACTGAGTTTCAGTCTTGATTTGGTCTGATTATTTTCTGTCCTCCACTCCTCCCTTTTGGAATGGAAATATTTTCCCTGTGCCATTGTACTTTAGAATTATGTAACTTGTTCTTCACTTTTACAGAGCTTTACAACTTAAAAGTTTGTCTTGATTCTCAGAAGAGAGTTCGAACTTGACTTTCAAAAAATGCTGGAATTGCCGAGACTGAATTGTTGAGACTTTGAGGACTGTCTCTGGTTATATGCAGTATAGTTGTATTAGGTTAGGCAGAACTATGAATTTGCTAATGTCTTTATTTGGAGATTGAGTATGGTTTTAAAGTATGTTTGTTGACAAGGGGTGTGAGATGGTGGTGAGAGTGGTGTATCAACTTGACTGGCTTTGGGAACCATCCTGGGGACTAGAGGAGCACACTTCTGGGTGTGTCTGGGTGGATCATGAAGACATTGCGCAGGGATCTATGTCTAGTCCCTTCCCTTTTCCTTTCTCTGTTTCCTTGTTCCGGATCCTGTCCATTATGAATTAAGCAGCTTTGCTCCACCACACCCTCTTGCCATGATATTTCTGCCTTACAGCCAGCTGACCATAGACTAAATCCCTTAAAACATGAGCTAAAATTTGAAGCTTTCCTCTTGTAAGTTGTGGGTGGCACATATTGTGTCTAGTGATGGGAAAGCTGACTAATTATGTGCAGAAGCTTTTTAATAAGAAGAGATCCCACTTGTTGATTGTTTGTGGTAGTGTACGGGCAACTGAGGTTTTGTTCATAAAATCTTTTCCTACACCGATGTCTTCAAGAGTTCTATCTAACCTCTGTTCCAGCTGATTCAGCGTTTCTATTTTAATATTTAG